TTTGTTTTCCTGTCCCTGCAGGTAAATTTTATTCTTTTTATCAATATTATCAGAGTCCTCGCCACCAAACTACGGGAGACAAACGCAGGGAGGTGCGACTCGAGACAACAGTACAGGTGGGTCACGTGGCCTCTCCGCTTTTTGGGGAGAGGACAACGCCCTGGTTTCACCCCCTTGGCTTCAGAGCAACCCAGGGTGAGCAGCTCAGGGTGCCTGCAGCCACCCAAAACAGGGTGAGGAGGACGTTGTCACCCAAGAACGAATCGACAGTTTAAACACCCCCTCAGCCTTTGCAGTCCAACCTGGGGGACCTGCCTCGCAGGTTAGAGGGGAATTCAAGCTCTTCAGCCAGTTCAGAAGTGCCTGTGCTGCTCTTGAGCCCAGAGTGCAGCAGTAAAAGCCTTGTTTGTGTCGTTGAAGCCACTCAAACTTGTCTCCATTTCCTCATTTCTATTTATTTCCCTCCCGTGCTTTGTAAAATCCGGGCTGTTTGTCCAATCTGCCCTTCAGTGGGTGTTTGGTGCCTCTGCTGAAATGACAAAGAGGTTCCTGCCCCCTTTGCTGGCGTCTCCCCTGTTTGTTGTGTTGTGTTGTGTTTTCCTTTGTTCTGCCAGCTCTTCCCTCCTGATAATTCGGGTTATTCACGGCGTGGCCAAAACCAGACGGAACGAACAGATGGCTGAGGCACCTCTTGGTGCTGGAGAGCTCCCAGGGCTTCCCAGAATGTCCAGGGCTGACCAACCTGACACCTGGAGAGGGGGCAGAGCAGAGTGACAGGGCTGCAAACCATGAGCTCGTTGCCACCATCCCCCCCCCCTGCAAACAAACACCCCCCCGTTTCATGGAGCCAGGAGGGACATTTGGCAGCAAAACACCTCCCTCTTTATTTATTTATTTTTCCTGCCCTGTCAGGGCTCTGATTTATCTGTTTGTCTACTTCTCCCTGGCTGAAAGTTGCAGTTAATTACGGTTTGGATGGGGCTTTCTCCTCTGGAAGGGTTCAGCTCCCTCAGTGCTCTGCAGTTCCTGGACAGAGCCCCTACCAGCCCCTTCTGGGGGTGGTGTTTGCCCCCTGCCAGGAACTGCTGCTCCTGGTGACTTGCTGCAACCCTTGGCAGAGGGTTTAATCCTTCAATTCATGGCGGTGATTCCCCGAGGAGCAAACCCAGCCAAGTGCTGGCGTTGTGTGGAACCTCCCCCCGGGCCCCAGCACGTGCTGAGATGCAGCTGCTTCTTCAGCAGGAGGTTTTCCAAGTGACCTTGCAGCCCAAGGCACCTCCTGAGGGTGTCCACCTCCCAGCCCCACAGGGCACTGTCCCCTTCCCTCTGATGGCTGCAATAATTCTGCTCCCAGATGCACTTCCCCCTCCTCCAGCCCGGCCTCTGACCCAGGGTGGGTGTTCATGGCGTGCCTCAACAAGCAGCAAAATCACCGAGTGGCTGAGGTTGGAGGTGCCCTCTGGAGATCACCCAGTCCAACCCTCCCTGCCCAACCTACTGCAGGTTGTGTAGGGCCGTGTCCAGGCGTAAAAGGAAGGAGAACATCCTGTATGGACAGGGATTGGATGCCAGTCAGGGGGTGAAGGAGAACATCCTGTATGGACAGGGATTGGATGCCAGTCAGGGGCTGAGGGCTGGCACAGCAGCACACATTCCTTTCCAACCACCCTCCCACCCTCCACCCCTGACCCTGAGCCAAACCTGGAGATGATCTGAGGCTGGAAAAGACACTCCTGTGCCTTCACCTCCAGCAGCATCACCCGGGAGGGGGTCGAAGCAGCACATCAGCACCTGGGTTGTCTCAAATATACGCTGAAATTCCAGGTGGCCCCAGTTCCTGTGGGAACAGGAGCTGTCCAAGCCTACCCAGGGGGTCACATTTGCCCCCTCCACTAATTCCCTGTCTTTCCCTGTCCCCACAGGAAGCTGCTGAAATCTACCCTCGTCCTTATGCCTCTGTTTGGAGTTCACTATATTGTTTTCATGGCTATGCCATACACAGACGTGTCAGGGATTCTTTGGCAAGTTCAAATGCACTATGAAATGCTGTTCAACTCTTTCCAGGTACTGGCACTGGGGAATTTTAGAGGGGAGGGGTGGGGGAAACCACAAGGATTTCAATGGGGAGAAGGGGGAAATGGGAGTGCAAGTTGGACTCTGAAGGCAGGGCTGGCTTTACAATACACCAGGTTTCATTCCTGAGGTGATCTGATAGTATTTTGATACATATAATTTTATAATATAAATATTATCATAATCTGTATAATATAAATATTGGGAAATATTGGAAAACATTTGAAAAATATTTTCTCTTGTCAAAGCATGATATTTATGCTATTTGTATTTATGAAGGCTCAGCGTGTCCAACCACAAAAATGGTCCTGTTGGGAGGTAACTTTGCCCCACAAAATAAACCCTTTTAGACCCAGGTGAGACAGGAGCTGGTGGAGATCCACAGAGATGTTTTTTTTTTCAAATTACCTCCCAAATTTCTTGCCCCGGGTTGTCTTTCAGTGCTGAGGGGATTCCTCAGTCCCAGCTCTGGGAAAAGGGAGGTTTAGTTCTTGGAATGGTCCTGTTGTGCCATTGCTGGGCCCCCCCACCCCGAGCAGAGCCTGGGCCATCCCCTGCAGCCCCTGAGGGACACTGGGGAGGTCCCCTCTCAGTGTCTGCTCTGGAGGCTGAACAGCCCCAGCTCCCTCAGCCTGTCCTGCTCACGGAGATGCTCCATCCCTTCAGCACCTCCGCAGGACAATCATCTGCCAGGAGCTCCATGTACTGAGGAGCCCAAACTGGACACACAGCACCCTGATGTGCCTCCCCAGGGCTGAGCAGAGGGGCAGGATCCCCTCCCTGCCCTGCTGGGAAGGCTGGTTGTTGTCCACCAGGACCCCCAGGTCTGCTGTGCCAGTTTTATGCAGGAGATGATGAGTGTCACTCGTTCCAGAGAACCTGGGGGTGCAAAGAGCAGAAAAGAGAAGCTCCCCTGCAGCCCAAATGCCCATTAACACGTTGCCTTTTCTTCCTTGCAGGGATTTTTTGTTGCCATCATATACTGTTTTTGCAATGGAGAGGTGAGTCACCAACACCCTCAGGATTCCCCTCCCTTTTTTAGGATCATTCCACACACAGCTGGAGGAACAGCAGCACCCCCTCACTCTTCAGAGTGCCCCAGCCCTGCTTTGCACTCCAAGCTCTGTCAGTCCCCACCCAGGTCCCCAAAAAATGACCCACTGCAAGGAGCCTATGGAGATAAAAATGGGGAGTTTATAATTTCCCAGCCTAAGAGCTGTTTAGAGCTGCTGAAGTTCAGATCTGTGGCAGGATCTGTGGGTTGATGGAGTAGCTGCCTGACCAGAAAGCTCAATGGATTGTCCAGGGCCTTTTGACCCCTTTTTTTTTAATTCTATTTCCAGAGTAATATCCTTTGATTTCTTCATTTCCATTAATTCCCTCAGTTGCTGCAAATTAAGGAATTAGGTGGTCAGTGGGTGCACACTGGGAAAGGACTTTCATGGAGTGGCATAAAGCTGGTTTGACCTAAATTGGGGGATTTTAAGGGGGAAATGTAACTTCAAATGGGAAGATTAAAACAAGGCAAGATGTGTACCATAAGGGGAACTCATCCCAATCCCAGCTTCAGCCATCTGGTTTTGATTCAGCCTAAAGTAGTCTCAGTCTAAAGAAATAGCTTAAGTCTAAAATAGTGAACTCCTTTCTAGGGGAATTTCTGGGGACTCGGGTGCCTCTGGAGGTGCTTCATCCCACTTTTACTCGATTTCACGGTACAAGAGAGGATTCTCCCCTTGTTTTTGCCCTTGGACGGAGTTCACCCACATTTTCAGCCACTCAAGCTTCCCAGGGCCAAACATTCCACGTGGGAAGGGGAGATTTAACGTGGCTTTGCTGTTCCTTCCCATTCCATAGAATCACTGAGTTGGAAGGGACCCACAAGGATCATCAAAGCCCAACTTCCCCCCCAGTTTCCCACCCTCTCTGTCCGTGGATCCCACCTCCTTCCTGGCACCAATTCATGCTTTTTTCCCCTCCCTTCCTCTCCCAGGTCCAAGCAGAAATAAAGAAGTCATGGAGCAGGTGGACTTTAGCCCTTGACTTCAAAAGGAAAGCACGGAGTGGGAGCACAACCTACAGCTATGGACCAATGGTGTCCCACACCAGCATCACAAATGTAGCCACCAGAGGAGCGCTCGCCCTCCACCTCAACACCAGACTCATCCCAGGGACCCTCAACGGGCACCGCAACCTGCCGGGGTACGTGAAGAACGGCTCCATCTCCGAGAATTCCATGCCTTCCTCGGGGCCAGAGCAGTACAACAAGGACGAGGAATATCTCAACGGCTCCGGGCTCTACGATGGGGACAGACCCACGGTGCTGGTGGAGGAGGAGAGGGAGACAGTGATGTAGAGGAAGGAGGGGAAAACCAACCAAAACAAGCAGAAGGATGAAAAAGGTTCCTGGAGAGCATTTGGCGGGTGGAAGAACCATCAGGCCACGCATGGAATGCCGAGGGTTTCCGTGGAGTTTCCCTGTTCTGTGGAGCCAGAGGTTGAGTTACACGGGAAGAACGAGCGGGCCAAGCAAGGTTGGCCGGTGGTGGATCCCACCCACGGACTCGGCGATCCACGTCTTCCTGGCGTTCCCAGGGATCTCCACACCCTGCTGGACCACAGAGACGCTCTCCAGGGAGGGCTGGGGAGCATCACGAGGGTCCCTGGAGCTCCTGGAGAGCGTGGGCAGCCGAGGGGGGACAGGAGCCCTGGGGCACTTGGCCTGCTGGGTCCAACCTGTCGCGCGTCGTCCTTTCCCTCGGGAATCTCCTTGGCAAAAAGTGCCCCTCTGGGCTGGGAAGGGGTTCACAGCTCGTGGCTGCAGGAGACAGGCAGAAAACTCTCCTTCCTCTCCCCCAGTCCCGGTAGCAAGGCAGGAACCAGCGGGAATTCAGGGTGGAAAAGGTGGTTCTCAGAATATGCAACGTTTCTGTTCTTCCAGGTGCAGCAGAGATGGAGAGGGGCCTTCCAAGGGCAGGGAATTCACAGGTCTTGGAGGGGGTGGGGGGGTGTGTGTGGATAAAATCAGTTCAGAGGGGACCTAACTCAGCCCTCCCTTTTTGGGGAGGCTCATGGGAAGAAGCTTCATTTCATTTTTAAACCTCTAAATTGTTCCTCCTTCTGTTCTCTGAAAATCCTGATCCATTGAATCATGAAATCCCAGGATGCTTTGGGTTGGAAGGGACATGAAAGATCACCCAGTGCCACCCCCTGCCATGGGCAGGGACACCTTCCACCAGCCCAGGGTGCTCCAGCCTGGCCTGGAACACTTCCAGGGATCCAGGAGCAGCCACAGCTGCTCTGGGCAAGGGGTCCAAACCCTGGTGAGGAGAAAAACTCCATCAGCCTTGTGCCTGTGTCCCCCAGAAGCACAGTCTGTGGGATACAAACCCACCTTCAGGAGATCCAAAGGCCCAATTCGATGGATAAAAGCACGGGGGTTGCTCCTGGATGCTTTCACAGAGCGTCCCCAGAGGCTGCTCTCTGATGGGAGTTGTGAGATGGGAGTTGTGCTGGGGCTGATCCTCCAGGGAAGGGTCTCTGCCTGTTCCCAGCCGTGACACAGAACTGGTCAGGAGTGAGGGATTAGGAACAGCCACCAAAATTCCTACTGCAGCAGGTTCTGCTGAGCCAGCCTGGACCCTCTTCCCAGCCTCTGTCCTACCCTCACCAGTCCTTTGCTCCAGTCCAAGACTCAGCTCCTCAGGGGGCCCTTTCTGTCCTTATTTCTTCCTTTCCTTCCTGGCAAGTTCCTGGTGACTGAAGCACTTTGACCACTTTCACTCAAATGCAATAGGAAAGAGACCTTGGGGAAGTTTGGGAATTCCTTTAGGATGCAGGTGAGGAAAAATGGGAGAGCCTGCTCTCTGTTCTGATCCTGTGATGTCACTGCTCGGTCACATCAGCCGGAACTTCTGAGGTGCATCCAGTCCGTGCAATCAGCCAGCCCTGAGAGGGAAACTAAGGGCTAAATTCCCCCAGACTCTGCAGGCAGTCAGGAAGAGAAGCTGGGACCTTGATCTGCGTCCCAAACAACCTTTAACAACCTCCCAGCTTGGGCCTGACCAGACCCCAGGGAAGACACACACGGGTAGCTCGTTAATCGTGGAATCAGAGAATCGCTGGGGTTGGGAAAGCCCCCCGAGTTCCCTCTTGTCCTGTAAGAGAGCTCTTTAAATCCAGGATTTACCTGTGATCTTCTTGTCCCGTTTCCGTTATTAAAAGAAGTCAAATCTCCTCACAGCCCTTTCCCACCAAACAGCAGCTACTGAAATGTAAATGTTCGAAGATTGATCTCTTCTCGTGCTCTCTCCTTCTGCCCCTCCTGATTTTCTCACTCAGAACAATGTCTTGGTTATCCTTTCACCCCTGGAACAGAGAAAACACACCAAAAAACCCTCCAAGCAGTGACTCAGTGTTTGCTTGTGTTTGTCACTGAGAACTCAGGATCGAGAACGTGTCTGACAATCACTCAGCAAAGTTCAAGGAATCAGCAAAAGCCATGAAATTATTTATAAACAAGTACAACACCCTCAGCAAACACAGCCCTCACTGACAGGAGTTTGGCACTGGATTATTTAGAAGAAATGTCTAAAACCTCTTGTTAGACACAGATAAATTTACAGAGGCACGGGGGACATACAGAGGAAGAAATATTCTTTTTTAAGCCTTTTTTAATTGCAAATCATGAATAATAGATTTTTTTTTTTTTTTTGGAGGGGGGGTATGTGAATGAACAGTATTCCTGCAAAAATTGAGGGAATGCTGATACTAAACCAGAGGGAAAAGTGAAATCCAGGCACAACAGAATATCTTTATCAAAGCCTGTTCCTGCCATGCCTGGGCTGATCCCAAACTCCTGATTTGAGTGTTTGCATCAGGATCTGTCAACTAGAGACCCAAGGTTGTCCTTCCCCGATTTTAGTGAGGAAGGATCAGACCTGTGGCATCTCAAAACAGAGAATAAACCCCAATTCATGGCTGGGATTTGCTCTGGAAGGACAAGCAGAGGCCAAAGCCTTTGGATTCAGAGCATCCCCTTGACCACAACCTGCTTTTCCCCCAAAGTCCCTCCCCCTTCATCTCCCTCTTTTCCAGATGGGCACAGAGCTCTTCAATCCTCCTCAGCCTTTTATTTCCTCAGGAGGACTTTTTGGCAGCAGTTTTGTCCTCTCTGCTCTGCAGACAAATGTTTTTATCCCTCCTCTCCACTGCTTGGTCCTGGTTCAGATGAGATCATGTCTTGTCCCGTTCCCCACCGTTCCTCAGCCCTGCTGCCTCTTGTCTGATACATTTTGGAGCCAAGAGTTCACAAAGATCTCCCAAAATCCAATTCTTCAGCCAGGGGTTGGCTTTGTTTATCTGTTTACGGGCAACCAGCTGAAGGTCACGGGACATCCACGGTGCTGGGCAGAATTTCCCACTTTTTAAACTATAAAAACACACGAAGAGGGAACATCTCCAATTTTTTATCCCTGTTTATGGCCTTGTCAAACTCAATATCTGGATTAAAGCTTTTAACTTCAGGTTCTGGTGGATCAAAAAGTCAAGAAACCTCATTTGTAGGTTGGGTTCTATTTTTTTTCCCCCCTACCCAAAGTCATGGCTGGAGCTGCTAATCCAGGAGGTCTTTTCCAATCTGACCAGTTCCCTAATTCCATGATTAGCCCAACAAGCTCTGTCCTCATTTAGAACACATTTACAGGACACTGAGGCAGGGAAGGGCTGGAAATCAGCTGAGGGTTGGGCAGGGCCCAGGAACAAGAGGAAAAGTTGTGGAGGAGCTGACCCAGCTGATCAGGAGTAATCAGGGAACCTTATAAACCTGCCTTCTTTTCAGGCAGATAAATCATTGCCTAATTAGGATTTCTCCTGACTGGGGGAGTCTTGGGACAGCAAAGGGGAGGGTGTGACAGTGTCAGTACCACTTTCTCTTCTCCTTCACCCCCACTGGCACTTTTCCCTTTCATCTCACCCGTAAAAGTGGTAAATTAGAACAAACTCAGCTTGAGAACCCGGAATGTCGCAGCCATTTGGGATGAAATCCTGACCCCAGGAAAGTCAACCCCCCAAGAGATGTCTGTGGATATCCATGGAGTGGGTTTCACCCATCAATTCTGCAGAGGGAAAGGGTCAATGATTTAAAGAAATCACCTCCCCCCTTCCCAAAACCTCCCTGGGATTTCAGGGTGGCTTTTTTCCTTCGGATCAAGAGCACGGCAGGAAATCCCCAAAGCAGAGATCCAGAGGTGGGAGATGGGTCTGAGGGGCAGTTTCCTCTCCTGAAATGCTCCAGCATTCATTTTGTACTGGGAGCAGCTTCTGCATGTGGGGATTTGGGACGTGGTAGACACTTGGCCAGAAAAAGGCACGGGATTAAAATGTTTGGGATGGGTGGGATTAGTGTTTCCAAAATGCCTGGGGTTACATCCACTGAAATAGAGCTGCAAGATCCACTGGAAAGGGTTGAAATGAAGGGTGTGCTCCAGGCAGGCAGCCCTCAGGTGCCCCAAACAGGAGACAAAACAATCAGCTCACCAGAGAAGCAGCATCTGCTTAAACCAGAGCTTTCCAACAGGCACAGACCCTTCTAAATCCAGATCTGAGCCTTTCCAGCCAGGCCAAGCTTCACCCTTTTTCCTCTGTCTGAATTAAATGATTTTTAATCATTTAGGGGAGGAGGAATTACAGAATCATGGGATGGTTTGGGGTGGGAAGGGACCTTAAAGCCCATCCAGTCCCAACTTCTGCCATGGGCAGGGACACCTTCCACAGCCCAGGTGGCTCCAGCCCCATCCCTGAACAAGAATCCATTTGCTGGGAAATATTTGGAAGGACAGGTTGTAGGAGGTGGAGCTGGTGGGAGAGGGGAGCCTGTTGGTGGCAGAAGAGGAAGGGCAGGCACAGCCAAAGCCATCCCCAATCCCATCCCCAATCCCATCCCCAATCCCATCCCCAATCCCATCCCCGTGTTCCAAAGTGCTTTGTCAACCTCTTCCCGTGTGGGTGAGCTGGGTGGGGGGAGACTGAGGAGACAAACCTGCTGCTAAACCCCATCCCTTCATCTCAGCAGCTTCAGGGTGTCCCAGCCCTGGTGGGCACAGGAATTGGTGGGATCTGGGCACTGGGAAAAGGCCTCCTCAGCCACCATTGCCAGGGGTTATTTTCAAGGTGTTGGCTCTGGGAGAGGAGCCGGGGGGGGGGGGGGTATTTGTGCCCCTCGGTCACAGCGCGGGGTTTCAGACCTTGTGCCACTTCAGGAGAGGGGCAAAACCCCCAGATGAGAGGCTGAAACTGGGATTTGTCCCCGTGTGTCCCAGGCCTTGCCCTGTGTGTGTCAACATTTCCATTTCCCACCCCCTCTCCCGCCTCTGCTTTCCGTCGGGACCAAAGGAGC